GTGCAAAACCACCACTAAGCACAAAATTGTCCAAGATAGACTTAAAAGAGAGCGTGGTTCTGTCCAAAATCATTGTCATGCAGTAATCTCTACAGCCTTCGTGGCATAGAGGACTACATAGTGAGTTATTTGCAAAATTGCATAATTGAAACTCGTCAAATGAATCAGCTAAACAAATTAATACTGACAAACATTCTTCTAGTAAAACCAAAAATTAAAAGTTAGTAAATCCAATACTCGTAGTACTACTCACATAGCAGTTGATAAGCATACAGCCACATTACACATAGCAGTTGTAATGTTTCACTTTCTTTACACTTGATTATCTGAGGCCGGCATAATGGTAAGCAATGTCTTGCCAGTCGCTTGGATAGAGATCAGTTGTACACTACCTTTCATCTTACAGTACTAGAAAAAGCAAAATGACTGTGTACGCCACTACCCAGTGGTAGTACATAGAGTAGGTAGTGATTCTGGACCAAGTCCATGTGTGGCCAAGACTTTTTGTTGGTTCCCTACACACATGAATGGGATTAAAAAATCAGACAGATCACGTAGGCTTTCCAAATCTTCTTAGGCCTAATGGATCACATTCTCTGATACAAGAGTCATTTTGTGAAGCTCTTTACTGCTTTACACCTATTTCTTTACCAAATACTTTGTGTAGGAAATACCTCTTTTATGCTAGTGCAAATCGTCTAATAAAGTGGTAAATTAAAATCCAGCCGTTCACTATGGAAATCCCCACACAGCTATATCCCTGGTGCTTTGTCAACATGTCTCCTTGTTGCTGTATTGATAGCTGACAACCAGGTAAGACTCAGTTGTGTAATTATTTATTTTTATTTTTTTCAAAATGTAGTACCATTGTAGGGACATCTCAATAACCTATGATATGGGCAGCCATCACGCTTTCCTCTGTCTTTAACTTTAACCAAATTCAATTCAATTCAGGTTTATTTATAGAGCACCAATCCACAAGAACAGTCACCTTCTGGTGCTTTATACTGAGACCCTATAAAGTTCTGTGGTTGGGGGCAGCTATGGTATTAGGTTTGTATTTACCATTTTTAGCATCTGTATAATGAGGACTGGGGCTGTGATGAAACAGATGTTATACTGAAACACCGTAATGACCAATAAAATTATTACTTTTACTTTATGAAATTAAATCCAATGAACCTGTGGTCTGTCATTTATTTCTCGCTTTCAGTAATCAGTGTGGTCTCCGCTGCACTTAACGAACGAAGGCATTTGCATGTATTCTGATTTTCTGACTCACAAATGGGTAAAGGTGTTTTTTTCAAAATACCCAAAACAAAACAGTTAAATTGGTTTTTCACTCGTGAAAACAAAAAGCTTTTCTCACATGAATAAATATATTAATATTCAGAGTAGTGTCATGGATTCTCTGACTTCACAGTACAAATTGGTCTGTTTATGATCATTAAACAGTCCATTTTTTTTAACCAACCAACAACATCCTTCATGGACTCAGAGCATCTGCTTTTGGGAAGATAACCTATAGTAATAAATATACATTCATCCACATATATCTCCAGTAATTCCAGGACACAATAGTTTATATTTTTAACTGCTTCAGGTGAAAATGTCATGTTTTCATAAAACTGTGCTTCTTGCCATTAAGAAATGAAAATAAAACTGATGACTTTCATCCAAGTTTAGTTTTTCTTAACCGCCTGAGTGAACTCTCCTGTTTCCATGGCAGTGTGAGAACTGTCTGTTTTTCGATGTATAGTATTTATAAGAGGGATATAAACTTGCATTAATAGTATATCTCAGACTAGAGCTTGACGCAAATATAAGCTATAACTATGCCCTAAGATGTTGTGTGCTTGCTGTGACATGACAGTAATATATAGAAACAGGGAGTAGCTAATGTCAGCATATTTTAGCCCTTCAGTGGCGGAAATAATTATTTGATCCCCTGCGGAATTTGTAAGTTTGCTAGATTCTAAATAAATTTACATTCTAATTTTTTTATAGTAGTTTAATTTTAATGGAGAAAGACATGTAGCAACCAAAAATCCACAGAAAAAACACCAAATAAGTAAACACAAGTATTTGATCCCCAAGCAAAACATGACTTAGTACTTGGTGGAGAAACTGTTGTTGGCAAGCACAGAATTTAGATGTTTCCTGTAGTTAGTCACCCGTTTTACACATATGACGGGAGGGATTTTGGCTCACTCCTCTTTACAGAAACTCTTGGCTGCTGCTTGGCAACTTGAAGCTTCAGATTTTCTATATGATTGAGATCTAAAGGCTGATTAGGCCACTCCATGACGTGAATGTGCTTTTTCTTTAGCCACTCCTTTATTGCCTCTGCAGTTTGTTTTCAGTGTTCTGGCTGAGGGAAGGAGGATTTTGGCCACTCAGCGCAGTGACGTCGTCTTTTATGTTCAGCAGAAAAATAGCCCCAAAGCATAATGTTCCCACCTCCATGCATAACTGTTGGAACAGTGTTCTTTGGATCATACTCAGCATTTCCTGTCCTCCAAACACAGTGACTCAAGTTGAAGCCAACGCCAGCTGGATTTTGGTTTGATCTGACTGCAGTACTTTCTCCCAAATCATTTAGATGTTCACTGGCAAGCTTAAGACAAGCCTGTACATGTGCCTTCTCAGCAGGGTGCTCTTGTGGACACTGCGAGATTTCAATTGATTACGCTGTGGTGTGTTACCAGTGGTGTTCTCAGTGACTGTGGTCCCAACTGTATTCAAATCACAAACAACCTGTGTAGTTTTGGTCTGGTCCATCACCTTTCTCAGTATCATCCTCATCCCATGAAGCAAGATATTGCATGGGGCTCTACACCTAGGGGAAGTAATGTTCATTCTATATTTCTTTCATTTCTGAATAATCGCACCAGCAGTCGTAACCTTCTCACCAGGCTTCTTGCTGATGGACTTGTAGCCCATTCCAGTTTTGTGTTTTGTCCCTGATGTCCTTTGATGGCTCTTTGGTCTTGCACATGATGGTGGAGAGGTTGGATTTAAAGAAATTGATTCTGTGGACACATGCACTTTATGTATAATGAATTGAGCTCATGACTATGTGCAGTTGACTAACTATGCAAGCCAGAATTCTGGCTAGGTTGTAGGGATTCAAATATTACTTCTCTTAATGGCATGCAGATCAATTTATAACTTTTATGCAATGTGTTGTTGTTTTTTCTGGAGTTTTAGTTGACATCCTCTCTCTCTCTCCATTCAAATAAAACTGCTATAAAAACTAGAAACTCTTCATTTCTTTCTAAGTAAGCAAACTTACAAATTCACCAGGGGATCAACTAGGTCCCTTCACTGTACACCAGTTTTAACTCCTATTATACAAAAGGATGAATGAAGAGTATGTTTGTATTAGTTTGTGGAAAAAAAGTCAGCTTTAAATTTTCTTCGTTTATACTTGCCATGTTTAAGGCTTAAAAGTTTAATCTCAACAAAATCTTTGTTCTCTACTAGAATTTTACTGCTGCAGTCTAAAGTGGGTCATGATCAGTGGTACAGTATGCTGACAGCAAGTGCTCTTCATGATTCCATTAACTTCCAACTGTGTAATACTGATCATATGCATAAAGAACTTCACTGTGATCTGAAAGGCATTAAAATATCATCATCAATTGAATCTTTCAAAATATTCTGCCTAGACAGCAATTTGAGCTACATTCAAACACGCTGTACTAACACGAGCCAGGAAGAATGACACAACGTAGGCAGGAAAGATTGAATTATTAGAACAAAAAAAAAGGCTTCAGCTAAGCCACAGGTATACACCTTCCAATGAAGACAGGAAAACCAGAAAAAGCCCTCCCTGCAAATGTTGTATATTCTTGCATGTGTGTTTACATGTGTTTTAAGGTGGCTTAGAGCCATTGCAAAACCCAATCAAAATGCAAATGAAGCAGTTAGGGATAGGAAGAATTTACCAGGTAAAGAGGAGCTGATGAGCTGACACAGCAACTTAAATTATTGACTTCGTAAATCTATCCTTCCTGCCTTTTTTTTAATGGTTTCTCCTCCTGTCTTTATATCTTTCTGTCTCCATGGTGCAGCAATGGCAGTTGCGCAGCAATCCATTGGATAATACCACATAGTGTCTCCAGCATAGATTGACGGAGTGTTCTACACTTGGCCTCCATATTTTTAGAGCTTTCTTGAGCTCTATCTTTCCTCACTCCTCTTGCACAGCGTCTTGATCCTTCTCCCCACCTGCACCAGTAAGCTAACCCCTCCTCACCTCACCAACTCCCCCCTCATTCTATTTGATTCCATTACTTTCACCCTTCCCCTTATATTCTCTCTACTCACCTTTCCAGCAGAACCCTCTCTCTGGCCATTATGCCCTGCCTTCTCCCCCTCCCCTATCACCCAGCCCATCTCCTCTTCCTGCTCCTTCTCTGTATTCCACCTCAGCACCCTCTCTTCTGCCCTCTTCCCCTATCAGATCCCTTTAAGCCCCTCCTGCCTCACTTCTCTCCCTGTTTGTTCTCGTCTCCACAACGGTTCGGTTATTCAGTTCTGCCTTTCTTTCACAACCAAGTCACCCTTTCCCTCTTTAAACTCTCAGACTTCTCTTTTTACCCCATGTCCTGCCACGGTCTCTTAACATATCTCCTTATCTGTTTGACACATGTTACTTCACACTTTACCCCTCAGAAACATCATCCCTTCTCGTCTCACCGTCTCTCTTTTCCTCCTGTGTTTAATCTGGAGAGAGGATATCACCATCTCTGAATCGTAGGGGAGAAAAAAACCCACCAGCGCCATTATCTTCCCATCTGCCATATCTTCTGTCTCTCTGTCTATGCACTCAACTCGGCTCTTCTAAAATTACAAGCCAACCTCTAAAAAGCGATGCCGCATTTTTTTTTTTTTAAAAGGCGAACATGCAGACAGGGGAAGGTGGTTGAGGGAACGGGGAGAGGAAATGGTGCGATAATCGGACAGAGGGGAAAAGTAGATAGACACTATCATACCTGCGCGTCTGCCTCTCCTCCTGTTGTTGAGGCTATGTCTCCTCTGGTTATTTGCTCCCTTTTCAAGCCAGGTGAAGAACTCGAAAGAAAATACTAAATAATCCCCTTTCTGATCTGAATAATTTTCAAGCCCAATAAGAAAATATATCCACTTTTTTATGTTGTTGTCTGACACCGCGCAAGGCTAACCGCGCTGCGGGGCTGCTGGAGGGGAGACGGGGCAAGCCTAGCGTTTCAATTTAGTTCCCGTTGAGTTTGCATCAAAAGCCCTTTACGGGTGCAAGGCCGGTCGCAGTCTATAACCTACAGCTATCCACTGTCCGCTAGTGATCCGCTGGGACAGGACTGTAAGAGAGAGGGGGGAAACGCCGTTAAACCGGCGCACCGCTGCGTTAAGCGCTCATTTGGACTCCATACGAGCTCCCCCCTGTTTCTGTTTAGACTCCGTTAATCGGTCATTTGAAGGAAAACACACAAACGCTGGAGGTTAGTATCGCTGGGTTCCCGTGTCTAAAGAGTGGAGGAAAAGCGATGTGTAGTAAAGGAAACCACGCTGGACTCCTTTGCCGGTCTCCCCTATGGGTGATCTCCGCTTCCCCATTCAGCAGCTGCCTCTGCTGTCCGAAGGTCCAATCTTACTCCTTCGCAGCTCTTCGTGTTTCATCAGTAGACGCCTGAAACAAAAATCCTGTCAGGGTAATGGTGGGTAGGTGTTATCCGTCCCAAGGTCTTCCACAGGTAAAAATAAATAAATAAACAAAATAGGTGCACGAATTTGTAACTCTTCTCTCCACCCCCTAAAAACAGAAACTATAAAATCACATAGCTCAGTGAAACCGCTGCTCCCCTTTTTCCTCTACACAAGTGACTTTGTCTTGACCTCTCTCTGCTCTCGGCGTTGTTGTCTGCGAGGAAAAACACAGGACCACACCGCGGGCAGCCGGAGGATGGTCGACGAGGCGTTATAGGTCAAACAATAAGGCGAGCTTCAGATGGAAGGAGAAACAAATTTCGCAACGAAAGAAAACCCCACATTTAACGTCCTTTAGCTCATTTTAAAAACCCGCTCTGATCCGCTACGATGAGCACTCCCTCCTGCAGTTACTTTCACACTGTGCGGCGGTTTTTCCCGGGAGGCGATACGCCCACCAGCCCCACTCCTGTCTGTCTCCTTCCCTCCGTATCTGTGTCCTGCTCTGTCTACTGACAAGTCGCTGCTTCGGGATTACAAGCTGGTGATAACAGATGGATGCCTTATGACGACGGTGGGTGATGCCATCGCCTGGACCTCAGCCTGCAGTAGCTGAAGTTTAGGGTCTGTCAGGACATACAGTAGACAGCCACACTGTCAATAGGTTCTCAAAGTGTGGAGCAGGGACTTGAAGAGGACCACGTGAATGCAGTTGCAGCTGCAAAGCAGGAAAAAGCTTACATTTTATCAGTTGTTATTAAAGGTAGGTTATCTGCTCATGTTCTGGAATGCACTACTGTTGACAATAAAAATCACTGCCAGTAGTCTTGGTTCAAATCCAGAAGCACAACTATATTCATTCTGAGTACATATGCACAAACACTGCTCACTTATATCTGCATATCGAAGCTGTTTGACCCTAAGCATAGCTCAGGTGCAGCTGCTCTAGGTTGCCAGTGGAGGCAAGAGAGATGAGATGCACAGCTCTTGTCTTTAGTCAGGAACCTCCATGTGATGGGAATGACTGGCTTTACTTTCATCATATGTGATGTCAAAGGCTTTATGCCTGATAAATACTTGTAATTACCACTAGGAGGAAGAGGGGAGCAGACACTGAATTATGAAACATAAATAATATTAAACGGGTTATGTTAATAAAATTAAATATCACATTCATCAAAGTCTTTCCGTTAGGTGTCCCGGATACTGCGGATTAAGAGCTGTGGTGATGAATGTTACCATTAGAGATGGCTGAAACAGCAAGCGCAGAGGCAGATTAGTGTGCTCACTTTCCAGATTCTGCAGGATTTCATAGATTATAAAATGTGAGTGTTCTACAATTATCTGATTAGCAAGAGGGATAAATTATATGGTGTGTTGTTGGCAGTACACCAAACAGTTCAAGGTTGCGGCTGCTAGTGGTGGTGGGGCCGGGAGGACAGGGGATAATAAAGAGATAAAGAGAATAACAGAGGAAGGCAGAAATAAACAGATTTAGAGAATGGGCAGAGATCAGACAGGGGTCAGGAAAAATGAAAACTCTTAACAGTTTGTTTCATCTTTAACCTCTGCTGAAGTACTGAGCAATATAAGCTAAAGGCTAGTGTTATAAAATCAAATAAATATGTGTATTTTTGAGAGAGATTGGCCAAAAGGAAGTAAAAGGGGAGGTGTAGAGGCTTTGTAAGTGTATATAAGCGAACTATATACAGTAGTAAAAGTAACTCCTGGTGGCATTTAAAAGCGAAATGTGATGAGAATTTAATAAGCCTACAGCAGTATTGCTTTGGCTACTGGTTAGAGATTCTTTTTTCCCCAGATGCTTCTTTCTTTAGCAATGTTTTAATTAGACCGGGTGTCCCCAGGGTTTGAACACCATTAGCAAATTTTAGAATCCTCAAATGAAGAATTATCACTGACCTAAAGGATCCTGTCAAGTTGCATTAGTGAGTTGTATAAATACTGGTGAATAAACTAGTAAACCAAACAACTTTTCACATACAGATCGAGCCGTGATGCTGAGTGAGAGTGAACAAAAAGTGAGAAAGAAAGAAAGAAAGAAAGAAAGAACGAAAGAAAGAGAGAAAGAAAGAAAGAAAGAAAGAAAGAGTGGGCAGAGGGTGAAAGAGATACAAGACACAGAGGAGTGCTCATTGTAGAATTCTGTGAATCGTCGCTGCCTTCAGAAAAGCCACAAGGATTGCACATGCAGGGCATCACTTGGTCAGTGTCCTCCAATAACTAACCTCCAATTATTTTATCAAATTTTTCACAAAGTTAGACTAAAATAACCTTTAGTTGTCACGACTGCACAAAGCCCTGAAATGTCAAAGCAGCTGGTTGTAGACGCTCATTGAGTCAAGCCAAACTGTTACAAAAGCATCTGCACGGACCAGATTTTAACAAAGGAAAGGACAAATATGGAGAGAGTAACAGAATCCTGACGCAAACTCTGGCAACATGTTCATCCTTAAATAGAGAGTAGGCCTACATGATGGCAAGCCACCAGAGGAGTGTGACTAACAAACCCTAAGGAAGGAAATTGTTGGAAAAATTCAGACTCAAAGAACAAAGAACTGGAGGGCAAGCCATGGCCAGACTTCTCTCAAGAAAATGCATAATTAACTTTTATTTGCAACGCAGTTTGAATATAAAAATCACAGATGTTTATTTCCTCTAATTCAAATCATAACACTTATTTTTCTCAAAAATATGAAGAAACATTCCAAGAGTTACACTCTCTCCTGCTCTGTTGCCACAAATTAAACATATCTACAGTGCACAGTTTTGTTAGCTGAGCAAAACTGAGGATAAACCAATTTAACAAGTTCAATTTTTAGTCTTTTCTCTTTTTTAACATTATTGTAAAGCGGCATAGCTTTGGGGATGTGGCTGTATGGACAAAACCAGTCATTTAACACCAAGCGTCTCTGGGAAATTGAGGTAGGCATGTTTTATGATATGAAAAAGGTTTTGCAACTCCAACTATAAAAAGCATGAAAAGCTCACAGCATAAAAAGGCATACCCGACTTAAATGTAGCCAATCTCCTCTTCAAAGTAATCTCCTTGTGCACCTTTGCTAATTTGAGATTTCCCCCCTGGAAGTCCTGTTCTGATAACTTCCATGTGTGTATCTCCAATAAAACAGGATCTCCTCCACTTTATCAAAACAACCCACCAACTTTACTTTGAGATACAGGACAAAGTTTAACTGTGGTACTGTATGAGTATAAGTATGTGATGACATATATGAGGACAGCAAGACAGTGTCTAGGTGTCCTTAGTAACAACAGATGGATTAAAGGTGAGGGTGGGATTACATCAGGGATTAGCTCTGAGCCCCTTTTTGTTTGCAATGGTGATGGACAGGTTGAAAGATAAGGTTGGGGAGGTATCTCCGTGAACTATGATGTTTGCACGGGCATTGTGATCTGTAGTAAAAGTAGGGAGAAGGTGGAAGAGTGTCATGGTCCTGGGCCATGTTGGCCCAGTATTCTTAGTTTTCGTGTGTTTTGTATTTTGTTCTTTATTTATGCCTTGGTTCCTAGGTTGTTTAGTTAAGATGTTCCTTATTTGGTTGCCCCCTGTGTGCCCCTCTGTGTATCTGTGAACCCTTGTTTCCCCTCCTTGTGTTTTATTCCATGTTTTCCCCAGCCCGTTATGTCCGTGCTCTCTCTCCTCCTGTCTGAACCTATGTGTACTTCCTGTTTTACTTTGACAGTCTCCCGTCAGTGTTGCATTTACTCCTGCCGTGTCTTGTTATGATTATCAGTGTCACCTGTGTTCCCCGTGTGCTCCCACTTCCCTCATTAACCCTCTGTGCATTTATGTCTGCGTCTCCCTCAGTTCTGTGTCGCGTTCTCCCTCATGACTGTGTGCCCCTCCGTGTGTTTCCTCGTGAGTCAGTTCCTTAGTACTTCCCAGTTTAGTTTCATATTATTTTGTATCGCCTTTATCCTCTGTCAGCAATAAAGCTGTATTTTGAGTTCAGTCCTGTTTTCCCGTGACTTTGCGTTTGGGTCCTCTCCTGCCTGCACACAGCCTGATCATGACAAAGAGAGTCTGGAAAGGTGGAGGAATGCACTGGAGAGAAGAGGAATGAAAGTCAAAAGAAGTGAGATGAATACAGGTGTGTGACTGAAAAGGGGACATGTGTAGCAGTGAAGATGCAGGGAGCAGAGGTAGTGAAGGTGGACGAGTTTAAATACCTGAGGTCAACCATCCAAAGCAATGAACAGTGCAGAAGAGAAATGGAGAAGAGAGTACAGGCAGGGTGCTATCTGAAAATAGCAGCAGATCTGCTAAAAGTTCAGAAGTGCGCCGAGAGACAAGCCTGAAGGGGAGATCGCCCAAAGCTAAACCAGGTGAGGTTTTTGCTTTTTATGGGCAGAGGTGCAAAAGTTCATTTACTAAATCCCAGAAAGTTGACCTTATTCATCTGGAAGTAGGAATCACTAGAATGAACAGAATCAACTTTCAACAAATCAACTTTCTGGAATTTTCTTACCTGGATTATTGAGCGTTCACCAAGGCTTAACGTACTAAAACAAAATGACAAATGTTTTGAGTTTGCTAAGTTTTTGTTTAGCCTATGTGTTGTGACAAAGAGGCCCACAATTACTACTTATATTATGATTATTGATTGCTAATTTTAACTTTTATTTATTTATTTATTTTTAAATCCCACCACATTATTTTAAATCAATGTTTTACATAGTTATACTATCCCTTGCTGCTTTGTGGGAAATTTTTACTGTGTTTTTACACCACTGTGGCAACTTGCTGTGTTTCACAACAGTAAAGCCTGTGAAACTGAGATAGAGTTGAGATAAACACAAGAAGAATTAGAGACAGTGTAACAGAGGAAGGAGGAAGGGAGAGAAGGAGATAAAGAGAGACGGAAAAGCCTCCAACCAATTCAGCACCACGGACAGTGCTGCAGCGGGATTCAGCTGCACAAGGCCGGAACAAGCTTTATCCTCATAGAGAAAAGCCAAAAGCTCTACTCAACACGGTCTGATCTCTCTCACTCCAACTCTTCTGCTCTCTTACACACACACTTATCCTTGTATTTCTCTTGCTCTGTCCTCTCTCAGACGCATACTGATGCGCATGCACTTGCAAACACACACATACTGTACAGTGTGTTTTTACTCTTTGTGGATCAACATCCCGAAGTACTCGACAATACGTCAAGCACACGTGTGTGTGTTTATATAAAATTCGATGCTCAGCATGTTAAGCACTTTTTTTCCTCCATCCTTAGTCACCAAATTTAGAAACGAGGCACAAGTATGAGACGGGTTCAAAAGGACACAAGTGCATTTGGACTTAGTGGCAGTCGGGAAAGGAAGAAGTGTGGAAATAAAGAAAGTTAGTGTGAGCTAAATAGATCTGGGGTAGCAAAGAAGATAACAACAGGGTATGCGACTCCTTTGTACGTTATTATTGGTGTAAGGTGCATATGTCATTACCCCCAGCTTTTCCCA